TAACAAGTAATTTATAATTTTATCTAATGTATGTACCTTTAAATTATATTCTACATTGATAACAATGAATTTGAATGCTAAGGTATCTAAAAAGCAAAAGTAGTATGCATCTTTTGTCAAAATGGCTCTGTCATTTTAATAAAGACATTTTGAAAAAATGTGTTGTTAATAGTAATTTACTGCTAGAAATAGCATAGTAATAGTAAGAAATAAAACAAGATAATTAAAAATGATTTCACATCCTTATATTCTGGAAACTTTGTTGTATGTTGTGTATACAATGACACATTAAATTGTCACAATGTATGAAGTTGTCATTTTATTAAAGATACAGGTGGGGAAACTGAGGTTCACACATTTAAATGTCTTGCCAAGATCTATACAACTAGTATGACTGTAGCCCAGACTATGTCCAAGGCATTGGTTTAACCACTATAAAAGACAGACATAAACATTATAATTTATAATATTTATATTATTGTTTATCCCTTCTTAAAAAATGGATGACTGAAAAAAAACAAAAATTCTCTGACAAAATCAGCAGGATTATAAATGACGAACCCAGATTCATAACCCAGTATTTCCAATCCAAGTTTCTTTCTCCCATCTTCTCCCTATGTTTATATGTGACATGGGCTTTCAGGTTAATTTAGCTCCTTAGTTTATTGTGCTATGGTGCATGTTCCACATATATTCCTTAGAACATTTCACACTTTAATTTGTACATTTTAATTAATTCACCTTCAAATTTGAAAGTTTCCAAGATGCCAGTGGGCTGATTGGAAACTAGTGATTTTCAAATGAAAGAGCTTTTGAGCCTAGGAATGAATGAACCGGAAAAATGCAGCTGTGTTTAGAAAGAGGCTTTATAATAGTCCAAGGCAGAATTTATTAGGTTATTCCCTCTTAATGAGTTCCACATAATATGCTCTCAGTTAATATGTTAAAGATCATCTTTGTAGTTGACAAGCTAGCAGACTCCGACTTAGCCTTAGGAAACATGCTGCAGTTTGTTACTAAGCAAGCACATCTGATGCTGCACTTGTCATTCACGTTCTAAGCACAAGTTTCCCAAAAGTCTTATGCTGAGAGTATAGTCATCAAAGAGAGGCAGACAGATATATACTACTGTCCAATTCTATTTCCCTTCTGCCCCATTTACAACTCTCAGACAGAAAAGAACAGTCTGTCCAGTGGGAATATACAATAAGCTGAGCTGAGTTTTCCAAAGGCTAAAATGATTTGCATCTTCCCCTACTTTGCCATTTCACAAAAACTTGTTTCTCTTACTGTCATCAATGGCACAGGGCAGGCAATACTAATTGACTCATAAAATCTCTATTCATTGAGGTAATTGGCAATCAAACTGCAGTTTCATTGCAATTCTTGCTAAACAGTGGGGGGCTCTGCCCTCCTTTGGGCTACTTCACTCTCAATGATATTAATTGAACTGCAAGTGCCTCAGGCTGCAAATTGGGATTTGCTGAAAATTGTGTCAGGTTATAGGATTGAGATCAGATGTGGGTTTTAGTTAAGAAACATTAGCTAAAGTGCATTACATCACCAGCTCAGGAAACTCTACTGCTCATTATTTCCTCAACAATGTTAACTAGGATAGAAAATTCAAATAGCACTTTAAGACTTTTTACTGCAATGTTTCTTCACTTTGCAACATGCATTTCTTTTTAGTTTCAATGAACTTCCAACTTCTAGCCTCAAAATTCTGTGATCTGTTATAAAATAGTTTTTATTTAGTCATCTTAAAGTATTTCTTTATTTTTCTTTTAGACAAATGATTTTGTTCAGTCTTCTTATGTTTCTTAATAATATGCATTATATTTTCATTTGTATTATGGTGATTTATATATTTAGTATATTTGTCCTTCTCCCATTGTTGACTATATATCACTTAAGAATGGAAGTTATGTTTTATTCATCCTATAAACTCTTACTGATTTACAATCTTTTTGTTTAGTATTTCTTTCTGAGAGGGTTTAAAAGGAATTGCCTTTGAGTGTGATATGTGAGATTTCAGAAATCGAAAAATACTTATGGGAGTAAACTGTTTTACCAAAAACCTAACTACAACAGAATTCATAATTTTTTAATTATTATTTTACCTGGTTAAGAACATAATAAAATAATACATATTTATGTATAATTCAAATATGTACATATATAGAAAATACAAAATGTATTAAGTTATAAAATAATAAGTTTATGCATATGTATATATAAACACTAAGAGTATAAGCAAATTTAAATATGACATCATATTTTCTGTTAATATTAATGACAGGAAAATGTGTAAGGTGTTCTTACTCTACTGATATGACTAATGAATGAAAGAACTTGACCCTAGCCCCTTGAAAGATCCAGTTTCATTAAAAAATGAAAGTTAATGAAGGCTAAATAATTAATATATTGTATATATATGCAATTAATTTGAAAACATAACTTGAGTAAATCTTCTGTTCTAAAGTAAAGTAATGATATCTTACCATAAAAGTATTCAGTAAAGACTACAAAAGAGATTTCAAACTACTTCTCATTTTAGGCCTGATCGTTTAAAATTTTATATCCAACAATGTATGTTCATTGAAATCTTCAGTAATGAAGATGAGGATAAACTGAGTGGGTTTTAGAGCCACTTAATTTGAGCACAGCACATGTAACAGAAAATATTTCAATTTCATTATTCACAGAACATGAAATAATTTGACTAAAAAACATTTAATGTTGAATAAAATACATATTATTTAAATGAGTATTTGAAGACTCTTGACATTCAAGACTGGTCCATTTCAAAGAAATAGTGAACTTTAAATTAAGCACTTACCTAAAAGGAAAGAGACTGGCTGAACTTAAATGAGATATAAAATGGTCAATATCATTTTGGTTGGATTTTAGGATGTGAGCAGAATAGGAATGAGAAGTGGCTACAGACATAAGTTCAATATTAATAGAGATAATTGTATATACATTTTATGAGAATTTTTTATTTCATTCATTGGCAGCAAAAGGCACTAAAAATATTTGATCCAGAGAATGCAGTAATCACAGCTCTATTTCAAAGACACTAATGTCATGACAATTAAATGAAACATGTGATGCTAGATTGCATCCTGAACAACAGCAAAAAAATTTAATGGGAACTTTTATAAATTCAAATTGGATTTCCAGATTATAGCATTTAATCAATGCTAATTTCTTGATGTTGGTACATTGTACTACCCTGGTTATGAAAGAAAATGCCATTGTATTTTAGGAAACACTCTTAAAGTTGTAGGGGTAAAAGGACATCCATCTGCTACTTCATTTTGAAAGTTTCAGGAAAAAAAAGTGGGGGCACACATAGAAGAGAGAGAAAAATAAAGCAAGCATGAGAAAATATTAATACTGGGGAAATTTGGATGAAGGGCACACAGAATTCTCTGTAATACTTTTCCAGTACTTTTAAACGTCTGAACTGGTGTAAAACAAAGTTTTTTTTTTTAAAAAAGAAGACTAATGGAGTAACAACATGACATGGGGTGAGAACTAAGATCAGAGATTGGGCTGATTATGGTTTACATGGTTTAGCATCTGTTTGGAGGGAAGTTTGAGAGAATCTTCCAGAATTTAAAATGTTTTTTTATCTTTCAATTCAGCAACTCCATATTTGACATCTGCTTCATACAAATATACATATCCATGCACACAGATACTTATTGTGATATTGCTGTCTTTTATTAGAAAAAAAAGCAAACTAAATTTCCACTTTAAAAAGAAATGAAATTCAGGTACATTCATCCTATAGAATAAAAAGAGACAGAAGTTAGGTTTATGAAAGTCTTATATGTCCCCACCTGGGAAGAACTCCAATACACAGTAAATAAAAACAACAACAAAGAAATTGCAAAACAATTCATACAACAAAATCTTTTTATGGTATACCACATTATGTTAAATTGCCTTTTATATTTAAAAATTAGATAGAAAATGAATTACCCAGAATAAGATCTGGATTGTTTCAAATCAAAGGTGATACCTGGGCAAGAGAGAGACTAGTTCATAGAAAGAAAGCTATGGCAGGAACATCAAGTGCTTACTCTATTGTTTTTGAACTGGGGATTGAACCCAGAGGCACTTAACCACTGAACTACTTGCCCAGTCATTTTTAAATATATATATATTTTTTATTTTGAGACAAAGTCTCATTAAGTTACATAAGGCCTCACTATGTTGCTGAAGCTGGCTTTGAATTTGCAATCCTCCTGCCTCAGCCTCCGGAGCCGCTGGGATGACAGGCATTGTGCCACTGTGCCCGCCCATGTGTTTTAAAATACATAAATATATTAATGCATCATTTGTGCAATTCACAAGTAAAAAAATTCACAAAATTAGTTCAAAATGAAATAGAGTTTTAGTGGAGTGAGACTGTCAACTGCTGATACAGTCTGATTAAGTAGAGTGGGAAAGTTCATTAGGACAGTGTCATTAGGAATGGGGAGGAGATAGAAAGTGTAAAATGGAGAATGTTAGTCAGCTTTCTGTCACTGTGACATAGATGAAATATTAATCAACTTAAAAGGAAGAAAACATATTTTGACTCACAGTTTCAGAGTTTTAAGTTCATTGTTGGGTGGTTACTTTGCTTTTGGGCCTGTGGCAAGACAGAACATCACAGTGTGGAGCATGTGGTGGAACAGAGATGTTAACCAGGGATGCTGGGAAGCAAAGAGAGTCTGGGGTCCCAATATCCCCTTCCAAGGATACGTCCCTGACGACCTCATCTCTTTCCACTAAGGCCCACTTCTCAAAGGTTCCCCTATTCTCCAATAATGCCACAGAATGGCTACCGCTCCTTAAACACATGGCCTTTGGGAGAAATTTAATTTCTGAACCATACAGAGAATATATAGGACTTGGGACTTGAGAAAATATATAGTGTGATAAGGAAGAGAAACTCTATGACAGGAATAAGCAATGTCTTTAACAGAAATAAAAGAACCTACTGATTCATGAGGCAGATGATAATTTTTATTTTGAAGATACTTGATTTGAAGTACAGGAGATCCCACAAATTTAGAAATATATACCATAGAATGTACACAGGTGAGAACTGCCCTGGAATTAAATTACTAAACTCTTGGTAACACTTCTCAGTTTTGATGGAAGTTATATATACACACTTAATCCTGGGATAGCTATTTATATATAATTTGGTATTAAAATTGATCTTAAGGAGATACAAAAAAGAAATTCATTAACTTTATTTTCAACAAATATATTTCTATATAATGAGATCCATCTTCAGTATGTTAGAGTATATACTTAAAACTCTAGGTCAAACTCCCCAATATGAATACAATTTGTAAAAATAAATAAAACATAAGAATATATAATTTTTGCAAATAAAATTTTTAGTGATTTAAGTGCTATTCAAGATCCTGTTTTTCCTACCCTAGTTCCATTAGAGTGCTGTTACTTTGGGTCTTAATAGGATACTGAAATCCATCTATATGGTTACTTGCGGCATTTTTAAAATTTAAGATGGGTATGCTTTTGCAACTAGGGGGTGCTGAAGGACTAGAGAAGATGAGATTATATCCCATTAAAAAGCTCATGATCAGCAATAATCTTTTAAAAATGTCTTCAATGAACTGAATAGCATTGATTTACAAACAGTGATTTGCACGAGCCATAATTTTATTGAGTTGGCCATAGAAACATTCAGCTGGAACAAAACTCTCCAAATAATGTAAGTGTACTCCTTTGGTCTTACGTTTATGTTATGTGAATTACTGATAGTTCTAATTTTGGCTGTGGCAGAAATAAAAAGGAACATTGGATGTGATATTATTAGAAAATGGGGGGGTCTCATAAAAGGAGACTTAGTGCTTATTTTCAGGTTGGAACAAGATCAAAGTAAGTAAAACTCGGTCGTCTAGACTTTTGGCAAGAGAGAAAATACAAGTAGAAATTCAGTCTAACATAAACAAAGATATCATTTACATAATCTTTAAGTGTTTTGTAACATATCCCCAAATATTCAAATACATAAAACATAAAATAAAGTAGAAAATATTTTCAATTTTACTTAAAATATGTAAGCATTTTAATAAAATAGTTAATATCCTTTCATGATTATGTTTTTTTAAAATTTCCAATTTAAGTTACTTCTAGTAATAGGGTACTTATTTCCTCTTGATTTCTTAAAAAACATGTGAAATCATATATCTGTCACTGCATTCTGATTTAAAATATGTAAAACTCTTTTAAGGCACAATGCTTTTGTGTACTCTCTCAACAAATGAAATCCATGAAAATCAATTTGGGTTTTAAGATGATTTAAATAAATTTTATGGTAAATATTTAACTGATGTATCTATCCTTATGCATTTTTCTTTATCAGAAGTCAGAATCCAGTAAGCATTTATGTAACTGTGGGTTTTTCTTTGTTTCAAAAATGCTTTACTGTGTTTTATTATCTGGCAATTTGACAACACAGGCACATCTTAAAATTAGCTGATTTTACAAATTAATAACTTTTGGAACTTTATTTCTCCACAGAGCCTGCATAATTATAACTGATATATTTCTACTTACAAATTTTAAACAATATGTAACACTACTTGGCTTAATCTGTGATAATACCATCTAAAATTATAGAAGAATAAGATGGTTTTCTTTGAAAGTTACAAGGAAGGAAATTGGAAATACTACATATATTAGAATAGAGACCATAACAGGAATCAGCGTGCACATCATTTTTTTTACCAGAAATATCTGAAGTATTTGCAGTTTACACTAACCGAAGAAAAATGTTTGGATTTATATTATGTAGTATGCTTATCCTTCATTTATTCCTAAAGCAATATGCTTGCTGTACATATATACATCAATATTAGAGCACAGACATTACAGGATCATGCTGCCATTCAAAAGTAAGGTGCCACATTTTATTACAATCAAATGGCATCCAAAATGCAATATATTGCTATGAAAATGCAAAAGTTTTCACAGATCAGCATTTATGAATTGGGTTTGTCACAATGAAATGGGATTTTATTTGATAGAAATGGAAAAAATTATCATAAATATATAGACCAATATATAACATTGAAGAACAAGAAACAGAAGGGAAATAGTGCTCTTGCATATAGGTCAATTCGCTTTGCTGCTGTTGGAATAACGGGTTTGGCAGGGGGAGGCTTCTTATTGTTCTTTGCCTGAGATTTCCCAAGTCCATTGTTGACTTCAATGGGTTTTCCATAGCAGTCATAATTGGATAATTCAAAATCTCTTGGTAAGCTTCCAACAATGCTGAAGTCATTAGATCGCAGGTCAGACTTAGAAGTACAAACCTTTTTGCATCTGGTCTCACCAACCTGAAGATAAAAAATTAAGAACAGAATGCATTTAGATGGTACATCTAAAATTTTCTACTTATAAAACACTCCTCTTCAAAAGTATTTTTTTAAAATGGCTGATTTGCACAAGAAGGTGTTTGTTTACACCACAAAGGACCAACAGAGATAGTAAACAACTAATGAAACTATCAGATTGTGTTAACATTTAGGGTTTTGAAATATTGCCTAAATAACAAGAATGTATCATGCAATAAAAGTTTGATTGGTTATTTTACATTAGGCTTGTAAGAGTTGTCTCAGTTTGAAGACCAAGTAATAAAAATTCATCCTTGTTCCAGTATGCAATCACGGTACAGATAATATTGCTATGATGTATGGGTAACAGAAATCTCCTACTTCTAATCTTGAATTTCCCTACTGCTCCTATTTCTAAATAGGGTTGTTTATAAATAACAGGCATTTATCCCTTTAATGAGACAGGTCAAACCTCATGTACAAATAAGAAGTAAAAGATCGTCTCAATTACAAAGCAAAGATTTGCTAGTGGTAGGCATTCGTGACTTGTTTGTTAAAGTTGCACAAAACTATCACAGAGAAAATACAAAGAAATTTTATATACTTCACCTAGATCATACAGTACAGAGATTATTGAATTATTAGTCTTTAAATTTGAATCATTTCCTTATAAAACACATAATAATTCTTTCTCACTGAACTCTTGTCTAGCAATCAGAAATGTGCTTAGAAAAATTAAAGGTACAGTTTAACCACCAATGCCCTAGAATAACACTATTACAAAAGGCCATGGAAAGGTGACCTAATGACTCAGTTGCTTAATTTTTTTTTCTGTTCTTACAACTGAGTTTTGTGATTTGCCTTTGGAATCTTCATTATTGACATTTAGCAACTTTTTACTGAAAAGGGAAACCACCTTATTATCTACTGTTTATTACAGTTACTCTATATTTTGCATGCTTTGTATAATTAATATATTAACACATTCTGTATATTGCATTTACCTTTACTAGATTATGGCTATATTTAAAAAAACAGGCCTAATGTAATAAATAAAACAAAACAAATTTTATTCACCAGCAATAATTTAGGTATCAGAAGACTATCTTTTATTTGACATACATTTCCTGAGCAAGTGCTGGATGGAAGTGTTCAGAAATAGAGAGCAACAAATAATCCAGACATGCTAACTGAAAAAGTAAGTTCCTCAGAATTTATGTCTCTCATCAAACAATAACACTGCACTCCTTTATTGACCTTGGATATGCTAACTACTCTGAGTTAACCATTATATTTATATGATCATTGTATACGATCAAAACATCACATTGTACCACAAATGTACAAATATTATGTATCAGTAAAATAGTAAAAATAAAAAATTAAATGATGAAATAACAAATTGATGCTCATTTTTTAAAAAGCACATACAAATGCATTTATATGTACTCCTGACATTATATATTTAGTTTTTTTTTCCATTTTTTTCCAATCATGGAAATTTATTATATTATTTTTTAAGTTAACAAACAAATATTGGCTTCATTATTATACACTTTATTCACATCTATATATTGGGTAAGAATTTTATTGAAAAATGTTTATATAAATAAAACTGTAGAAAATGCACAAAACATATTGATAAGGAGGAATGGTAATTAGGGAGTTAAAAGTTCACCTTTGCAACTTCAAATACTTTTAGAAAAAAAAGATGTGAATCACCAATATGTTGAGCTTAGAGACTGTTTGTTATAAGCTCACAAGAAAACACAGTCTCATTGTGGTTTAATGGGACTTTGTTTTAACTTTGGTAGGCCAAAGTGAAGAAAGAGGATCTTCCCCTGACCCCACTTTTTAAATATGCAGTTAAAATTTATCTATTGTAAGACCCCCACTGAGCCTAAAAGAGCTGTCCCTACATTTGGAGGGTGCCAGCACAGGTTCCAGGACTGATTAGTGGAGAGAAAGAGTCCCAAGCATAACAACTAAAGTCTAATTTCTTTAAATATGACTTCAGGAAGCACACACACATGCACACACTCACACACGTTTACCTTTGACCCCCATTCACTGTCCCACTGAAGTTGTCCAGAATGAGTTTTTAAAACTATTTTTAGCAACTCATCCACCATGTAAGTACCACTGCGTGTGCACATGTAAGCACATGCACAAGCATGTGCACACACACATACACACACATACTTGCACACACATGTACCTTTTCTGTTGTTGCTCCAGATAGAATCCCAGACAGAAGACCACATGGAAAGCTCAAGTTTCCAGTGCCAGTTAAGGCATGTGTCAGCCTCTATGTGGTTCAGTGAACTTTTCAAAAGAGCAAATCACTGCCTTGATTGGAGCAGAAGTTAAGAACAGACTCCAAGTATGAAATCTTCCCATTATCCTCAGAATCTCAGAGCAATCTTTAAATTCAGGGATTCTGGGAATCCCAGTCTTACTTTCTCCCTTTAGAATTCTGGACATCAAAGGCTTTAGTTGCACTAAAGAATTCACGTTGCAAAACAAAGGAGTACTCTAGCTTCTGCAATAGACTTCAAAAGCATAACTCCTTATCACTTATTTTTACTTTTGCACAAACAAGACCAAATGGTTTTACTGTAGAAATGTACTTATTATAAATCAGAATTTTTTAAACAGCTTAAGATGTGATTTTATTGTCTGTAAGTAGCTAAACATGCGACCAAATTTATATGATTGTGACCTATGTCACACATGAATATTTCAAAATTTTAAATCTTTTTGTTTATATAACTATAATCTTTGATGAAGCATTTTAATAATTTAAAGATTTTTTTTCCTATACAGTTTATTATGTGGCTATAGAATACTATGTTTATGCAGAGAGATTATTTAAATATAATAGACATGAAACTAAAAGAATAACTTCTTCAGGTTAAAGCAATGTACAAAAGCAGTCCAAAAAACTTCAGGTTGGTTATATTAAGATTTTTACCCTTTTAATTCACTGAAACCTCTCTCAAAGATATATTGGAGAATTCTTATATTCAAACGATTAGAGTACTCTTTGTGCTCGTGTGTATGTGTGTGTACATGCCAGTGGAAAAATAATTTTTAATGATATGATACAACTGAATAAGTAAGATTAGTTTCCCAACTGAAGGGAGGGGGGGAGGGTCTTTGAGGTTTTAAATAAGTCATGATTCATTAACTAGTTGGCTGATCTTTTGTTTCATTCATCAGAGATTTCACACATACAAAAAGTTGATACTTTACACCTTATTAGAATATCAAATATATACATGAACATATAAAAGTGCTGGTAGTATGAACACCATTTTCAGTAGTTGTAATATGGAAAGAAATAAACTGCTTAAAATAATAACCCCACTTACTAACCCCACTTGTCACATAAAAGGAGAAATGTGAGTGAACTATCAAATTAACGACCCAAATATTAAAATAGCTGAGAAAGTATTATCCTTAAAATTTGAAAAAAAAATCTGCACATTCCTAAAAATAAGTATGGCTGTGTTAATCTATAATTTATAATTTTTCAATTGTTTCTTAGTATGAATATATGCCTCATTTACTTTCATCATATAAATTTCTGTCACTTCTGAAATTACTGGTAGCAAAAACAAGGTAGCACAATAAAGAAGTTGCCAAGAATTTTTTAAAAAATGATGCAGATAAAACATTTCTAATGCTTCAAACTTTAGCCTCTAAGACTTTTTGTGGTCCTTTTAAGTTTCCACTGATATGCATTTAAAAGCAAATATTTAGTGCAGTATTTCTTGATATGAAGACTTAGGCATGATTTCATGGTGATAAGATTTATTCTACAGAAGATACAGAGGAAATAATTTGCATCTATCAAATGTTAATCAATCCTTATTCAAAACCAAATCATCATTATGTAAAAAAACAACATCTCATTGGTGGACAAATAGCAGCTTTTATTATTTAATTTACTCCCAAATTATGAGCATGCATATTGTTTGCATTTTATTCATAAAACCTTTGGTGTATGACTCAGAAAAGGTGCTGTGGAGAGGGTGATAATACCCATAAAAGGAGAAATATGAGTGAACTATCAAATTAGTGACCCAAATATTAAAATAGCTGAGAAAGTATTTACCATTAAGATTTGAAAAAAGTCTAGACAATTATGTATATATGATGATAAAATTTTTGTATGCAGGCCACAAACCTCATACTAAAAAACAGACTAAATTATTGTTTATCTTTTCTACCTTTTAAAGTCATTCTTTTCTTGAGCAAGCACAATATTATTTGGAAATGAGCTTCAATTTCTGTAGTCCAAATTACATTATACTTCCATTAATTACTATTGTCATTCCACATAAAAGTAAATGACATAGCACCTGATTGAAATTACTTGGCAAAAGGCTATGTTTGGAAAAGTGAAATACATTGAAACAAATGAAGTTTGAATCCAAAACCACAAATATATTTTTCACAGGAAAACCACTATCATGAAAGAAAACAGAAAAATAGAATTTAAAAATTGTTTCCATTTTATTATACTTTCTTTCATGCATCCAATATGGAGCAATCTTATAAATGAAGTTACAGAGTTTATGTAGGTTTGATGTGTACATTCAAGCTTATTTATTTTTACACTCATCATTTTGAAATCTGTCTCAAAATAAAAATATTACCTGAGTATAATATTTATTGTGGAAAGTTTATTTTCTCTGATGGAGACTAAGAATAATTTACATTTATTTCCAGAGATTAAAATTTCTGGTCAATTCTTACACTATGTAAGCACCTCTCTGATTTTTATAGCAAAAAGCCATAGCAGTTTCAGAATCCAGAGAAGCCATGTTATTATTAGCAGCTAAAAACATAATTAAAATACAGAAGTTCTTAAATGTGTTGAACTTTTATTCACTGGGTTATTATTTTAATGCTTGAAAGATAAATTTAAAATAACATAATTGAGTCTAATATTTCAGGGATTCTCTTTTCCTTCATATCCATGTTTATAAATAATCTTAATATGCTCTATAATGCTCTAAAATGCTGCTTCCAATTAGTCGCCTTCCATCAATATTCTACTTGACAGAGTACATTAAGATGTCAAGATCATCCACACATTGGTACTCTGTTACTAGGGAATTTCTGCAGTTATTAAGACCCCATAACACACCAGTGGATGGAACTGATTATGGCATTGTTGGAAAACAAGCATCTGTTCTGTGGAACATCCTTGTTTTATGCACCAGATCTCAACCAAAGCTCAAGGTAGAGGGATCGGTGGGATGGAAACTTGAGGAACTCCCACCTTGGTACATTAGCAACAAGGCCCCTCTCCCTGTGCAGTGTCCATAGAGACTATATAGAAGACGTGGACTTCTATCTCCACCCAGCAGTAACAAGGTACTCCTTCTCCTCCACATTGGGGTGAGATCATAGCAGCCCAACCATGCAGTCAGAAGGCACCCCTCTGCTGTGTCAATAGAGACCACATGGGGAACTCTCCATCCCACCCAGTAGTAACAATCCCACTTTTACTGAGTGGTGAACCTGGACTTCCTTTTCCTGGAAGGACAGAGTCAGAAAAAGCCAGCCGAAACAGGTTTAAACAATATTCAACAATTCATAATATAATGTGAAAATGTCTAGTTTACAACTGAAAATCATTCATCATGACAAGAACTGGAAAAAATCACAAACTGAATGAAAAAAATTCAGTGGATGTCAAACATGCAAAATCTGAGAAAGATATCAGGGCATCCATGATAAATACGCTATAGTGAACTATCATATTATGCTTGAAAAAAATGAAAAAAAAAAACCAGAATGCCTCAGTGAAGAAATGCAAACTGCAAGCAGAAAACACACACACACATACACACACACACACCAAATGGTAAATTTTAGTACTGAAAAATACAATAGTAAATCCTAAAGCTTATGGATGGTATCAACAGGAAAATGGAGGGGCAGAAGAAAGAATTGGTGAACTGAGAGGTATAACAGAAGATATTATCTCATCTCAAAAATAACACAAGAAAATAGATGGGGAAAAATGAAAAGAGCCTGGGGACATAAAAATATTATAATGGCTCTAACATTTTTGTAATCAGAGTCAGAAAGATAGGAGAAAGAGGGCATGTCTGAAAAAGTACTCAAAGAAATAATAACTTAAAACTTTACATATAAACAGGAGACATAAATCGACATTTTCAACAAGCTGAACAAATCACAAAGAAGATTAACCTAAAAAAATACCAGAAACATTTAATTTAACTTCTGGTCACTAAAGACCAAAAAAGAACAAATTGAAATGCAAAAACAAGTGACACTTTTCCTAGAGGGAAAAAATAATTAGAATGTCACATTTTCATAAAAAGCCATGGGGTCAGAAGGAAGTGGCACAATACTGGTAAAGTGCTAATAGAAATGAAGTGTCACATCAGAGTCCCATCCCCAGAGAAAACATCATCCAGGAATGAGAGAAAAACCAATACATTCTCAGATGAAGGAAAACAAGAGTTCTCACCAGTACAACTATCCAAAAAAAAAAAAAATGGATAAAAGAATTATTTAAACAAAAAGAAAAGAATAAAACATCATCTTGGAATATTAGAATGAAAGAAAAAAATATAGTAAGAATATACAATAAGCTTTACTTCTCCTGAATTTCATAAATTATATTTTATAAGAAAATAAAAATCATAACACTGCTTAATGTGGTTCTAAATGTACACAGAAGAAATATTTAAGGCAATTATAAAGAAGTAGATAAAAGTATGTCAAGGGAAGCATGATTTTGCACATCTACAAGCTTGTTAAGATGATGGCACCAGTAGACTGTGATTAGTTATGTATCCATGATATAGTATCTTGAACAACCACTAAAGAAGTTACACAAAGAGAATATAGAATATTCAAAATGAAACTCTTAAAATTGTTCAAGTAACCCACATGAAACAGGAAAGAGAAAATGGACAAACAAAAACAGAACAGGAACTTAAAAATGAAATATAGACTGAAATCCCAACATGTCAATAATTACATTAAGTATAAATAATCTAAATAAACCAGCTAAAACATTAGAGATTGGCAGAGCAAAAACCATAAACCAGCTACAAGTTGTGTACCAGACACTCACTTGAAATATAATGATATAGACATGCTGGATGCAAAAGGGTATGTAAAAGGGTGGGAAAAGAGATATTACAGACATGCCTTTATCAAAGCCATGATAGTTTCATACTAATGAAATTTTTTTCATTACTCTTTATGAAGTGTATTAGGAAATGTAAAAGTTATACAATCTGAAGAAGCCTCCCCAAAAGTAGCAGCTAAGGATTTGCAGATGGTCTGGGCTTTAGGCTCGGAAAATGAGTGTAATGATAATAATAACAACAACAAAGGAGCTGTACGCAGCACTATAGTTCATTCGCTTTTCTATGTAAAAAATATGTATGTGGCATACTTGTCTAGCATTTAAGGTAGGAAGAGTAGTAGTGGTCAGCAAACTTATATAGTGGTATGAGGTCTGAACATAAGCAGAGCAGATAAGATTTTTAAGATTGGAGGACAGTGTGAATTAGTTAGTCTGTTATGAAATTTGTCATTCTTAATGGAATGATAATGGTCTCCTGGTTAACTAGTCTTCCCTACAAGAAGACATCAAAAAGGGGCCCTTTAGGGTAGGGAGACAGCAAACCTTAATCAAAGAAGCTGCCTGTTGTTCCAGAACATATTATTATTTGACTCTGAAGGCCATGCCTACCATTCTTATATTAATGCCATGATCAAGTGGCAAGGCAAGGTCAAGGAATGAAACCCTATCCAATTCTCTAGCCACTAATGGTTGGACCACACAGCTCCCTCCCTGTGGGCACCTCAATAAGTAAGTAGCCTGCCTGATGTATTCTATAGGCAGTTCTCAAACTCTATGGGGAACAGGTCGGTTATTTCATCAAGGGCATTGGTTCCCCCAAGTCTCATTACGGATGGAAGGTCAGTGTGGTCCTCTGTCCTTTCACCAAGGTCTATCAGATGAGAAACATAGGGAGTTCCATATTCTGGCAAGATCTCCCTCTTTAATTATAACCATGAAAACAAAGTTGTCATGAGCAGTTAATAAATCATGTGAAACCTGGACCTTGAGACCTACTTTTGAGAACCCTGTGATGTGAGGGCTCCAGGAGAAAGCCCATTTGTAGCTTGATCCTGTCGATAGAAAAGTTCCTTGCTTGCTATGGAATTCACTAGTTCAAAATCCTTGATCTCAAGTCCCAGCTGCCCAGGGGTAGAAGAGATGGGCTTAGCGGGCTATGCCCCAACTGTGTTGTTTTTCTCAACTTCATCCTGTTTACCCTAAGAAGTTTTTCACACTGAAACCCTTTAATACCCATAACTATAAAATAAATTCTCGGGTTTTCATTCCCTTTGTTATATCCAGCCTCCATCAGAGCTGGATCACCCCCTGGGCCCCTGCTTTTCACTTATTTCCATGTCTTTGTCTTTATTTCTTAAATTTCTCATACCTTTAATATTTCTAAGATGACTTACTGCCCTAGTTCGGGCAAACTGAATATACAACGTTGTATCATTAAACTCAGTGGAAAGTCCTCAAGACATTTTTAATTAAGTCACTGATTTTTTATTTTCTTAAGTAGTATTTGACCTAAATGTTTTGAATGTTATCTAGCCCAAAATGTATGTTGGGCTCAATTCCTTTTCATCTGTGAGGAAAAAAAAAGTAAGTGAATGTGAATTCTGTCACATCTTTTCACACAGAGAACAGTATCTCTCTCCTGACACTGCAGAGAGGATGGGGGGAATCATTTCAATGAATAATGTCATTCTTACCTGCAACGTGCTAATATGCACAGGAGTCCCTGTACCATTCACAGTATTCTTTTTAGCTGCATTTCCACCTTTCCCATCTGCTTGCTCAGCCTTAGCGATTCTGGCTTTCTCAGCCTCAACTCTTTTAGGGTTGTTCAACATCACCTGGACAACAGCATACTCCACCAGTGAAGCAAACCCAAAGAGGAGACAAGCAATGAGCCAAACATCAAGGGCCTTCACGTAGGATACTTTGGGAAGCTCAGCAGCAAGGGTGGTGCACTCAGAGGCCAAGCTCAGGACAGAGAAAATGCCTACAGAAACAGAAACAGAAATTAAAGGTTGCCCGTATCCCTAAAAAATGATGTGCACTCATTGATGATTCACTAAGTTCCTCCCCAGTAATTTTCAATGAGCCATAAACAATTCATTAGGTCCTTCTAAATCTCAAAGACTAGAAGAAATAATGTGTACATGCTTTTATAATATATAAAAAGATTATTGATTATGTTCTGGGATGTTTGTAAATACTTAACATCTTAAAAACAGACATTCAATGTAAACACAATTTGGTTCTGGTTTAAATACTGAAGTTGTCTAAACTGTTCTATGGGATCTGAGGAAATATATAGCTCTCTGATTAAAGAGGATTATTTCATTTTTCAGTTTTGTTTTAGAGAGATTTCAATTACAGAGGGAATTTACACTCATGAACAACCAAATTTGAACAAAATCAAATATACAAATATATATTCTGATAAGAATTATTTGAAAAAAAAGATCCCATCGAGAAGACAAAGTAGAGAATATTTCTGATCGCTTCAGGAATAACCAACAGCAATGACATCAAATTAATTACAACTTTTCAACAAAAGAAATAGAATTCTACTACACATAATTTTAACTGTACATGAAAACTTAAGTCATTTTAACTAAAGTAATTAAAGCTAGCATAATACACATTAAATTAAGTAATTTTAAAGTCCTAAAGAAGAATCCCAAAAATGATTCTTTCTCAATTGCTACCCTCTATCCAATTTTCCCTTCTCACTTTCTCCCTTGCTTCATATTTTCAGGAAAAGGGAAGCAGAAATATGACCTGTTGACATAGGCTACCAGTAACACAATGGGTCAGAAGAAACCTCATTCACTCTCAAAGGAGACTCACTTTAAGTCAACTCAATTAACAGGTTAGACTTGACTCTCTGAGTCCATTTCACTTACCCGGCTGAGTACAGTATATTCTTCTTAGACGTGGCCCCTTTTAAGAATTAATGAATATATAACTACAATAATAAAAAGTATACTGAACTCTCATTTCCCTTCTGTTTAGGGGATAAACACTATATTATTATTAATAATTGGTTAAAGCACTAAAATTATATTCTATTAATTACATAATTTTAAAAGCTTCTGAAAGGTGTCAGTTTTATTAAATTGTTCAAGAACCTAAGATACTCTCTACTAGATATAGAAACTTTGTAGTAGAAATATAATGACTTCTGAAGATGAAGTAATATTAGATATATAATGATTTGATAGGCATCTTGCTATTAGAGCAATTATCCTCAGTTCTGAGGAAAAACTAAGAAGTAATTAATAGAACTGTATTTTCAATGTTCATATAGGTCTCAATGTTTTCCAAACTGGAAATAGAAAACAACCCACCATCTAATACTATTTAGCACCTGTACTACTAGCTTCTAGACTACACCATGAATATTTATCTGGATTTGTTTTGTTTTGAAAATTCATATTTTAAAATGAATCTGTACTGTAAGCAGAACATTCAACTTAGTTGTTGTTCAGGTATATACTGAATAAAGTGGCTACATTTAAATTTCTTTCTTCTTTTCAGATATACATGTTAGGAGAGTGTATTTTGACATACTATACATACATGGAGTATAACTCATTCTAATTAGGATCCCATTCTTGAAGCTGTATTTGTGGAGTTTCACTGGTCATGTATTCACATATGAACAAGAACAGTTATGTCCAATTCGTTCGTCATTCCTATTTCTATCTCCCCTCCCTTTCCATTTTTCCCCTTTGTCTAGTTCAATGAACTTCTATTATCTGCCCTCCCACACCTCCTTATTGTGTATTAGCATCCATATATTACAGAAAACATTTGTCCTTTGATGTTTTCAGATTGGCTTATTTCACTTAGTATGAGAGTCTCCAGTTCCATCCATTTACCAGCAAATGACATAATTTCATGCTTCTTTAAGGCCAAGTAATATTCCATTGTGTATATATACCACATTTTCTTTATCCATTCATCTATTGAAGGACACCTGGGTTGGTTCCATAGCTTAGTTATTGTGAATTGAACTGCTATTAATATTGACATGGCTGAATAACTGTAGTATGCTAATTTTAAGTCTTTTGGGTATGTACTGAGGAGTGGGATAACTGTTTCAAATGGTGGTTACATTCCAAGTTTTCTGAGGAATATCTATACTGCTTTCCAAAGTAGTTGCACCAATTTGCAGTCCCACCAGCAATGTATGCGTGTATCTTTTTCCTCATATTCTCACTAACACTGATTGTTATTTGTATTCTTGATAATTGCCATTCTGCCTGGAGTGAGATGGAATCTCAGTATAGTTTTGATTTTCATTTCTCTAATTGCTAGACATGTTGAACATTCTTTCATATATTTGTTGACAAATATATGACATGAGAATCAATCTAACAAAAGAGGTGAAAGACCTCTACAATGAAAAACTACAGAACCCTAAAGAAAAAAAAATGAAGAAGACCTTAGAAGATGAAAAGACCTCCCATGTTCTTAGATTGGCAGAAGTAATATTGTCAAAATGGTCATACGACCAATAGCACTTATACAGTTTTAATGCAATTCCTATTGAAATGCCAAAAATGTTCATAGAGATAGAAAGAGCAGTCATGAAGTTCATTTGGAAAAATAAGAGACCCAGAATAGCCAAAGCAATTCTTGGTGAGAAAAGTGAAACAGGAGCCATCACTATACCAGACCTTAAATTATACTACAGAGCTATGGTAACAAAAACAGCATGGCGTTTGTACCAAAACAGACTTAATGTATGAGTGTATCTTAAATGTATGAGTGAAAAAGATTCACTCATACCAATGGAAAAGAATAGAAGAAACAGAGACAAACCCATAAAAGTACAGTTATCTCATACTAGACAAAGACACCATAAACATGTTGGAGAAAAGATAGTCTCTTCCACAAATGGCATGGCGCTAGGATATCTGGAAATCCACTTGTAGCAGAATAAAATATAAACCCTATTTCTCACCCTTGACAAAACTCAATTCAAAGTTTATCCAAGACATAGATATTTCAAAAACTGTACATCAACTATAAGAAAATATAGGCCCAACACACTCCATTGTGTCAGCTTAGGTACTGATTTCTCAACAAAACTCATAAAGCACAGGAAGTAAAATCAAGAATCAATAAATGGAATGGAATCAAACCAGAAAGGTTCTTCACAGCAAAGGAAACAATCAAGATCATGAAGAGACAGCATACAGAATGGGAGAAAATCTTTACCACCTGCACCTCAGATAGAGCATTTATCTCTGGGATATACAAGGAACCCAAAATACTTAACACCAAAAAAGCCAATAACCCAGTCAATAAATGGGCAAAGGAATTGAACAGACACATCACAGAAGAAATACAATTGATCAACAAATGTATGCAAAAATGTTGAACATGTCTAGCAATTAGAGAAATGCAAAACAAAACTACACTGAGGTTTCATTCCACTCCAGTCAGAATGGCAATTATCAAGAATACAAGAATAAATTATCAAGAATAAATGTTGGTTAGGATGTGGGGGAAAACGTATACTCATACATTGCTGGTGGGACTGCAAATTGGTGCAACTACTTTGGAAAGCAGTATGGAGATTTTTCAGATAACTTGGAATGTAACCACCATTTGACCCAGTTATCCCACTCCTCAGCATATATCCAAAGGACTTAAAATTAGCATAATACAGTTATGCAGCCATGTCACTATTAATAGGAGTTCAATTCACAATAGCTAAGCTATGGAACCAACCCAAGTGCCCTTCAACAGATGAATGGATAAAGAAAATGTGATACATATACACTATGGAATATTACTCAGCCCAAAGAAGAACAAAATTATGGCATTTTCAGTTAAATAAATGGAGCTGGAGAATATCATGGTAAGCAAAACAAGCCAAACCCAAATAACTAGAGGCCAAATGTTTTCTCTGATATTCAGATGCTAATTCACAATAAGGGGCAGATGTGGTAGCCAGGAAAGGATTAGATCAGATCAGATTAGATTAGACTAGAATTGGATTGGAGAGAGGAATGAGGGGAGGAAGTATTGTGGTAGGAAGGAGAGCAGAAGAGGAATCAGACAATATTACTCTGTGTGCATATATAATTACATGACAGGTGTAATTCCACATCATGTACAACCAGAAGAATAAGAAGTTATACTCCATCTATGTATGATGTGTCAATATGTATTATACTGTTATGTATAACTAATCTGAACAATTTAAAAATAAAAAAAAATAAAAGGCTTACTAGTGCCCTTTTGTCAATAATAATAATAAAAAAAGACTCCTGAAATACAAGAAGTAAAATCATGAACCAATAAATGCAATGAGATGAAACTAAAAAGCTTCTTCACAGCAAAGGAAACAATCAAGAATGTGAAGAGAAAGCCCACAGAATGGGCGACCATCTTTGCCACCTGCACCTCATATGCAGCATTAATCCATTAATCTGCAGGATATACAAAGAACTCAAAAAACTAAACCAAAAAGAAAGAAAAAGATAAAAGCACCCAATCAATACATGGACAAAGGAACTGAACGGTCACTTTACGTGGATTTTAGTAGGAACCTCTTTACTGCTTTCCTTGCTTCACCTTTACCTGCCATCAGAATATAAAGTAGGCTACATTGAATTTGGTGAAAATTGATTTAAATTAGCCAGGTTGGTGGTGCACACCTGTAATACTAGTGACTTGGGAGGCTGTGGCAAGTCAGGGCCATCCCATGGAGCATTCCTGGGCCTAGTCACTTTTGCAGGAAGGAGGAAAGATAAGGGGGAAAAGGCAGGAGAATAAAGGAAGCCTAGGACAGATAAAAAGGGCAGAATACCTCTCTTCTTGGGATACCAGGATACAAGCTGTGGCCTCCTTCTCCCTCCCTCATAAGGAGAAGTCTATGTTACCCCTTTTTAAATAAACCCTGCTTCATAAAACAACAACAACATCAACAAAAACAAAAACAAAAGGCAATTGCAAGTTCAAGGTCAGTCTCAGCAACTTAGTGAGGCCCTAAGCAACTTAGTGAGAATGTATCTCAAAATAAAAAATAAATAAATAAAAGAGCTGGGGGATGTGGCTCAGTGGTTATGTGCCCACCCCTGGGTTAAATCCCCAATACTCCCTTTAGAAAAAACTGATTAGAATTGGAGTCTGATCATACTTTAAAGCCATTAGAAGGTTCTTATGTTGCTCTGAATAATGTTCGGAATGCATTCAGAGGTGTTCTGTGGACCAACCCTCACCATGGCTAATCTTTCGGACCTCATCTTTCATTGCTCCACCTTTACCTCATTCTGTTCCAGCTATGCTGGCCTCTTTACTGTTCACCAAATACTCCCGCCAGGAGCCTGCCTCAGTGATGTAGCCTCTGGTGCTCACTGCCCTTTTTGTTTGTTCTGTTGTTTTTATGGGTATATTATGATTGTATATAATAGTAGGGTTCATTGAGACATATGTGTAGTTGCACATAATTTGATCAATTTCATTCTCCAGTACCTCCCCTCTCCTTCCCTCCTCTATCCCCCTGCTCCTTTCTTCTAACTTAATGTTTTCTTTTCTACTTTCATGACATCCTTTTCTTTTTCTTTTCTTTTTTTTCTGTCCAGGTTCCACACATGAGAGGAAAACATATGACCCTGGACTTTCTGAGTTTGGCTTATTTCCTTTGATAAAATGCTCTCCAGTTCCATTTTCCTGCAAATGACAGGGTTTAATTCTGCTTTATGGTAGAATAAAACTCCACTGTGTATATATACACCATATTCCCTTTATCCATTATCAGTTGGTGGGACATCTGGGCTGTTCCATAATTTGGTTATTGTGAGTTGGGCTGCTATATAAATAGGTAGTCATGCATCACTATAGTATGCTTACTTTAATTCTTTAGGATAAATACTGAGGAGCTGAGGAGTAGTATACCAGGGTCATTTGGTGGCTTCAATCCTGCTCTTTCCAGGGTGGTTGTACTAATTTACAGTCCCACCATCAGTGTGTAGGTGCTCTTTTCTGCTCACATCCTTGCCAGCCCTTATTATTACTTGTATAGATAAAGTTATCTGGTTCTTAACAAAGGTGCCAAAAACATACATGGGAGAAAAGACAACTTTCTTAACAAATGGTGCTGGGTAAAATGGACATCCATATGTGAAAGAATAAAACTAGATCCCTATCTCTCACTCTGCACAAAAGCCAAACTCAAATGCATCAAAGACCTAGGAATTAGGCCAGAAACTTTTCAACTGCTAGAAGAAAACAGGGGCAACAATCCAACATGTAGGCACAGGCAATAGCTTTCTCAATAAGACTCTAAAGCTCAGGAAGGAAAGTAATGGCAAGAATTTTAAAATGAGATGGCATCAAATTAAAAAGTTTCTGCACAGCAAAAAATAACAGGAGCATGAAGACAGAACCTACAGAACTGGAGAAAATCTTTGACAGATACTCTTCAAATAGAGGATCAATATTCATAGTATAGAAAGAGCTCAAAAAACTTACTACCACAAAAATTAAAACCCCAATCAATAAGTGAACTAATAAACTAGATAGAATTTCTCAAAACAAGAAATTCAAATAGCCAAGAAGTATGTGAAAAAAGGTTCAACATCTTTGGTAACTAGGCAAAAGAAAATAAGAACTTTCCTGAGATTTCATCTCATTCCAGTTCAAATGACAGTCACCAAGGCCACTCTTCACTCTTTCTTAGATAACTTCCTCTTTTATTTCTTCACTTCCTTCATTTCTTTATCAACATTATCTCTCCTTAAGGCCTTTTCTGGTAAGGAGGATGCTTTCCTTATATCACTGACATGTTACATACTGTATTTATTTGGTGTCTGTTTTCCTCTCAAAAGAATATAAACTCATTAGAACTAAGAAGTTTTGAAAAATTTATTAGCTACAATTTATTTTTAGCAGTTTATTTTTAGCTATTTATTTTGAGAACTACATCCCAATCTTCTTGAACAGTACCTTGAAAATAGCACAAAATAAGTATATTCTTTTTAAAAAATTTCTTTTTAGTTGTAGGTGGGCACAATATCTTTGTTTTATTTATTTATTCTATGTGGTGCTAAGGATTGAACCCAGTGCCTCACACATATAAGGCAAGCATTCAACCACTAAGGTACAACCCCAGCCCCCCAAATAAATATTTTAATAAATTAAAATATATGAAGTATTTTTCAAACTGTAAAGCACTATATAAGTGTAGCTTAAAATTAACTTCTGAGTATATAATGTGAACTTTATACTCATTTTGTTAATCTTCCCAGTAGCTCCTGCAAACTTTCCCATCTTGGTTAATGTTCACATTATCTTTCTAATTTTTCTGTCAAAGAAAGAACCTTGAAGTTACCCATGATTCTACTTTCTTAAATCCCACAAAGGACACAATGACAAATATCTTTTATCATCCCTGAACTGACATTTCAGCAGAGTTTTGTTTAAAGTGGTTAGATCTGTTTTTCTTGTAAACACAGAGCTGGAATTCAAAGGAAGGTTTGGCCCTGGAGACTGACTTTCAACCAGCAAATACTTTTGCCCCAGGGACTAGGGGTGTAACTCAGTTGTAGAGCATGGGCTTAGCATGTACAAGACCCTGCATACAATCCGCAGCAACAAAAAACAAAATAATTACAAAACAATAAGATACTTCTGCCCCATATAACAGAACCACCTGAATATTAAATGAAAGCTCAAAGACCTCATATCAGAAGTCTGAAAGAATGGGGATTTGCAGAGAAAAATCCTTTAAAGAAATATTAAAAGAATGGATGTCTCAAAAGTACCCTTGGAAATGTAACATTTAAATAGATAGCACTGCAAGATTGCAAAAATATTTTCAATATAAATTGATTATTTGGGAGAAATGCATGATAATTTTGACAAGTCTAAAAATTTAAATCTAGTGGGATTTTGTTCTTGTATTGGTTTGTCTCCAATACAATTTACTACATAGTTGATTTTTATCCTATAATTAATTAATTAATCTATCAATTGTCATTTTGTCATCATTAACCTTAAGATGAAATTCCCCACATTTTTTATTTTTTAAGATATCAATTTGGTCTTTGTGGTTTAATATTAAATGTAAACCATGAAATTTCTTATTCAGGTAACATTGTCCTTTTCATTGCTTCTTTCCTGATTTCCTAATCTTTAAAATCTGTACTTCATTTAATTCCTCCAGTGAGTTAGAAACAAGAGGTACACTGGTCTTTTGAATGCAAGGAAATATCACATGTAAACAAGAAATCACTCATGAAAAAATTAGAAATATCACAGTCCACCTATATGAATTCCATGTGACATTCAGAAAACACACAGACACAGAGAAATAAAAAATTTTAGAACACTCCAAAGCAATCAAAAATCTATGTCACAATGTCCATATTTTCAAATTTGTTCACTTTACCCAGAGGAAGGGCTCTTGCTAATTTTCTCAAGCAATGACTTTTCAACTCTTACATAGACACAATTTTCAAAAGAATGGCTAATGATGTTTCTATGTCATCAATTATTAAAAATAATAAATTGAGGAGCAGGAAAAAACAGGAAAGATAATTAACTCTTATGTTAAGTCATATAAAAAGATAACTCATATCATTACACTTATGTATCAGTCAATGCCAGGGTTATATTCAGAGAAAAGCATCATTAGGTGACACTGTCATTGTGTGGATATCATAGAGTATACATACACAAATCTACATGGACTAACCTACTTTTCACCTAGGCCACAGGGTGTAATATCATATATGAAGTTCATCATTGACTGAAATATCATTATGTGGTGCATTACTGTATACCCTAAGATTATAAGATGTATATAATATTATTGAAAAAGATTTTCATCAAGATAGCTGTTTTTAACTTTGACACTATTGAAGATGTTTGATTTCAATAATAGGTAAAAATTACATATCAATAATTATTGAAAAAGATAGATTACGTGCTTCAAATATCCCGAGTATTCGAAAAAAAGGCTTCAAAACATAAATATTACGAAAATCTAGTTCATTATTAAATTTTGAAAGAAGTTTCCTTCCAAAAAAAAAAATAGGATGCCATCAATTCCAAGAGCCACAGTTTCAAAGTAGCTGATTATATCATCAGTTATTTACAGATACAGGTCCTTTAGTGCTTAAGTGAAATCCAAAGTGTTTCATATTTCAGATTTTGTTTTATTTTTAAATATTTTCTTGTATTTTATATGAATCTTTGGAATGGGGCTCAAGTCTTGATACAAAACTCCTTTACATTTTATACACACTTTAAACACATAATCAGAAAGTAATTTTGTACAATATTTTTAGTGCACCTGCCTACCAATGATAATCTATCACCTGAGGTCAGGTGTGAAATTTTCTACTTGTGGTATCAAGTCAGAGTTCAAATTCAGATTTTTGTATTAGCAATGTTCAACCTGCATAACAATCCTGACATGAGGGAGAAGGGTAGAATACTTTACCCAGGGGTACTCTGGCAGCACTTGCGTCTGGGTTGATCCAGAAGGAAAGCCAGGAAAGAACCACAATCAGCAAGGTTGGGGCATAGACACCCATCATGTAAAACCCGACCTGTCTCCTCAGGGTGAATATGACTTCCACACACGTGTAGTAGCCTTTCAGAAACAGACACATTATAGGTATGAGGTTTGCACCAACATTTTACTGTAAAAATAACTAACATACCCATAAATGACAAGACATTTCTATCCAAGTCAATTTCACAAAGTCAATGCTGCAACATGAGAAGCAGATCCCACCTGCTGCTCCACAACAGCAATGTCTAGGTATTTAAGTCTCTGTGCAGTGAACCTCCAACAGTTCAACCCTTCCTGACCTGAGAGTACTACTGGGGAAAAGGATCTGTAGGAGTCATACAGGGAACAGTAAATCAAAGCACAACAAGTATAAAAGGAAACACTCTTGGACAATCCTTTCCCCGCATTAGATTTTTAGCCACATGTACCACTGCTTATCAAATTCAAAGCCAGTCTCAGCTGAGATGCTAAGCAACTCAATGAGACCATGTCTCTAATAATATACAAAAAGGACTGGGGATGTGGCTCAGTGGTTGAGTGTCTCTGAGCTCAATCCCTGGTACCCTGGTTAAAAATAATAATAATAATAATTATTATTATTAAGTAGTTTTGGAGATAAACATTAGCAATGGGAAGAAATTGGTGTTTTCAGTTTATATTCACAAAAGACTGAAGTGCCAACATTGGTCTTATTCTCCATTCCCTCCCCACCTCCACTCTAGGCCCTCTGGATGCACTCTAGTGGGGGGAAAGGACTTTCATTTTCACACACTGAGACAAATGCAGAAATTGCTTTACAACATAATTCTAGAACTGCCATGACAACTAGTCCCAAAGTTAATCATGAATTATAGGCAGGCTCATGGTAGCCTTTGCTGTTTTAAGAAAATAAGTGACAAATCTCACAGCACTCCAAACACAAGACACAGTTACAGATGCTGAAGGTGATTTTTAAATGCTTCAACCCTTTTAGTTAGAAATTCATACCTTATATACAAACAGAGATATGATAAATTGTGGTATAAAGGTGTATTAAGAATTGTAGTGCAAATAATAATAATAATAATAATAATAATAATAATAGAGCTCATGTATAATGGCATAATTTGGCCTGAACATACTTTATATACAGAGTTACGAAAAAATTGTGCTGTGAATGGATAATTACAATTATAATGCATTCCACTATTGTCATGTATGCAAGAAAATTTAAAAAATAAATAAATAAAAGAAATTTACACATTAGATTTAATGCCTAATATGCCTACTTTAGATAAAACAATGTCATTTACCAGTTAATCAAAGTGAGATTATGCATAAATACCAAAAAAATTAAAATTTCTCCAATTGTTTTCAATTTAAACTGTACATAATTACTTAAAATTATTGAAACAAATAAATGAACAGAGAATAAGGGAAACAATTAATGGGGGAAGTATAATGTTACTTTTTACTCTTTTACAGTTAAAAAATAGTTTACCTAGTCTTCCTAATTAGGATGATTATACCCATTTCTAATGCTAGAAAAATGTTCATATTTATACATTATAGTACCGAGAGCAGTATTTATACACAATAGCTTCTTAATAGCAGTTACAAAAAGGAAGATTATTTACATCCTCTTAATAAGTAAGTGAGAAATCTATTTTTTTCTTATGAATTATAATCCTTGTTGCCTCTGACAGATTTTAAAGGTAGTAGGAATAGTATGAAACAAAAACAATTTATTGATTGTAACTGACATAAACTGTAATTATGCCAAATACTCCCATATTATATAAAAAACAAAAGTGCAGAGCTTCTTTCTAAATTTTATTTTCATTAAAACTAGGCAATATATTAAATCATTCATAGGTTTTATGAGATAGAAAAAAGCAAAACAATAAAAAATTTCCCTCCCTTTCCTGTTTCCCACCACTCATTTTAACTTCCTGCCCAATCAAGAACATATGTTTTCAACAATCATGTGTGATATTTCAAAAATACAAACTTTTGTAATTACAATTACTGCAATTAAGAAAGATCAGTTCCCATTAAGAAATGCAGTTCAGAAGTACTCTGCTTTGAAATAGCGTCGCTTCTTCAGACTATTTTATATTCACCAACCACATAGGAAATGGAGCATGATACATAAAGGTTTCTAAACAAATTATATATATTTTAGGTAGCCTCAGTTGTCACAAAGATTATAATTTACTACAAAGCAGCACATGTTAAAAATAAAATTTTACATTTCATCCCCTTCTGTTTAAACGACAGCCTAAATCACAGAAGTCCTGTGTTTGAAGCAAGTCTCTAGCATGTACCTTTTGCAAAGTTACTCACAAGGGGAGCCTCACAAGACATGGATGCATTCTGCAATAAAATACATGTTTGATATTATAGTGATTTGGTCCATAAACTTTGATGAGAAACATTTCTTGATCTTTTTTGATCTTTCCCTAGTACTGTTACATTTATGAGAGGCAGGTGGCCAGTTAATTGATATAAATGTTCATTGGGCAAATTCAATTTACTTTCTATTTCCTGTAAGGTTTTATTTCATTTTTCACTCAGCCTACCAATTTAAGTACTTTCAAATACTTCTCTACCTTTCTGATTTCTTTCATCATAGAAAAGCATATTTTTAAAAAAGTTAATGTTGAGTCATTATTTCTACACAAATTAAAGAGAATAATGGCCATAACTTTATATGTATTGCTCTATTGTATCTTTCTACTATTTTACATTGTTCAGCATTCAATGTCCGATTTTTATAAATATCTAAGTACTAACCAACCTTAAAATGTTTCACTTATATTCATATAATGACTTATATAGATGTTGATGAAGTACCTGGAACACAGCAAGTGTCAAAAAATATTATATTAGCCATAAGCTCTTTATTGTTTTCTGTAGCTAATGAGATTTCAGTGACTTATTTATGATTACTCAAAGAATACCACAAAAAACCCTATGCATGACTTTTGACTAATCCTCCCAAGTCTTTGTACCACACTAAAACCTCTTATTTCCCTCTAACAACTAAAATGAATTTTTATTGTATTTATTTATCACACTGGATTATGGCTCTATAAAGAGCAGAAGCCTGTCTTTTATTCATTGCTAAGTCTCCAATGGAGATGTTTTTAAGTAGGCCTTAAAAGTGAGACAAGAAAAAAATAAAAAACTATGTATTTTCAATGCTATTAAATAACTTTGTGCTCTAAAACAAAATTACAAATAAAATTGCTAGCTTTATTTTCCTCTCTAAATGATAGTTAAAACTTCAATAAACTAGTCTTCAAATTTATCAAAGAAATTTAGACAGTATTCATTTTGAAATGCTAAGTATATAATCTGAATGCAGATAACTAATTTTTAAAATTATAACAGGACTCCACAAATTGTGTAATGATATCAAATTCAATATTCTAGTGCTTTACTTAGTAACAGTATGACCTCAGCCAAGTGTCTTTGCTTCATTAGCCTAATGTGTCAAATGGGGATAATAAAATACTTAACTCAGAGGATTATTGTGATGATGAAATAGTATAATTCCCGCAAAGCACTTAAAGCAATGCCTAGCATAGTAAAAACTCAAAACGCTGTCTACTAAATATATATTACTATAAAATAATCCCCAAACACTTTTTTTGGCTTTCAAGATAATTTTTTTCATTACTAGATGGGTTATAAAATTCCTTTAAATTCTAGTCTTCTTAATTTGAAGGAGTTTGGATGGGTGAAGGAATACTATGACTAGTGCCAAGGCTGATGTAAATTTGCTTATTTACATTCAGTAAGTCCTTCAGTTTCCCTGCACTTCAGTTATTACATGTGTTAAATAAAGGAGCTTGCAGGGTGCCATGGTGCATGCTTGTAATCTCAGCAACTTGAAGCTGAGGCAGGAGAATTGCAAGTTCAAAGCCAGTCTCAGCAACTTAGCAATGCCCTAAACAATTTAAGGAGACCCTGTCCCAAAATAAAAAATAAAAAGTGCTGGGCATGTGGCTCAGTGGTTATACGCCTCTGGGTTCAATTCCCAGCACCAAAATAAATAAATAAATAAATAAAGGAGCTAGCTACTGTTTATCTATAAGATCACTTCTATATCTAATAATCTATGTTTATCTATGGCTGATTCATTGAGTATTTGACAACCTAATATTTTTGAATACTTAATATTGTTAAGATGACAGTACTCCTCAAATTGACCTACAGATTTATTGCATTCCCTATCAAAATCCCAGCTACTTTCTGGGCAAAAATTGACAACCTGATTCTAAGATTCACATGAAAATTCAAGGATCCCCAAATAGCCAAAACCACCTTGAAATCTAAAGGATTCACCCATCCCAGTTTCAATAATTATGACTAAGTTATAGTACTCCAGATTGTGTGGAAAACTGGCAAGGGTTTAGACAAAAAGACCAATGGAATAGAATTGAAAGTTTATTTATATATTTATATTTAAAGTCAATTGTTTTTTGACTAGAGCACTATGACAATATGTGGAGCAAAAACATGGTCCTTTTATTTAATGCTGCTGGGATACTGGATACCCACATACAAAAGAAGGAAGTTTAGGCACTCACACCATATACAAAAATTATCTCAAACTTGAGGCCCTGTGTTTAATCCTCACCATCACACACACACACACACACACACACAAAAGAATTTGACTCAAAATGGATCAAAGACCTAAATAACCTAACAGATAAAAATCGAGTATCCAAAATACTAGATTCTTAGAACTCTACAACAAAGCTAGGCACAGTGTTCATGCCTGTAATCCCAGGAACTCAGGGGGACCAAGCAGGAGGGTCACAAGTTCAAGGCCAGCCTGGGCAATTTAGTGAGAGGCTGTCTCAAAATTAAAAAAAAAAAAAAAAAAGGGCTCAGGAAGTAGCTCAGTGGTAGAGCACCAGTGAGTTCAATCCCCATTGCTGGAGGAAAAAAAAAATCTCTGTAACAGAAAGACCAACAGCTCAACTCAGATAAACAAAGAACCTGAATAAACCTTTCTCCAAAGAGATAAGCAAATGATGGTCAAATTTTTAAGAACTCTCAGTTTTTTTACTTGTAAAAACTTGATAATTATTTAGCAATATACTCAATTATTATTTCTCTTAAGCTAATATACTATAAGCACCATTACTGAAAGGATTACATAAATTTCATATAATATGTCAATGTAATTGAAAGTAGACAATAGATGCTTACTTATCTTATTTCTAAGGGTTATGGTTTAGATTTGGAATTTCCCTCAAAACCTCACATGTTCAGAGAGAGGGCTTCTGGGAATTGCTTGGATCCTAAGGTCTCTGACAACATCAGTGTGTTCATCCACTGATGGCTGAATGGAGCACTGAGAAGTGGGACATAGTTGGAGAACGTAGGTCACTGAGGACAAGATGCCCTGGAAGGGTTTATTTCCTTTCAGCTTCCTCCTCTCTCTCTGCTTCTCAGCTGCCATGAACTGAGCTGCTTTCTTCCACCACAACCTTCCACTATGATGTTCTGCCTTACCTCCAGCCCAAAGCAACACAGCCAACAGATCATGGGTTGAATACTCTGAAAGATGTGCCAAAACAGTTCTTTCCTCCTCTAAATTTTTCTTGTTAGGCATTTTGGTCATGACCACAAAAAGCTAACTAATATACCCTTTTCTCTTTTGTTGTCTTTATTATAATGCTTTAGATACGTAAACTTTCACTCTCTTGTTTTACTATCAAGAGGATTGTTTTAAATTATGTTTTGTACTTGAAAATGTCATGATGGTGGCCTTTTATCTGAAACATTGGATCCTCTAAGGTCTCCGTGAGTAACCTATATACCCTTTTACTACTACAACATAAATATTGCAATACAGTTAAACTTTACTTTTATCTACTCCTGAATATCTTCTGGCATGATTTACTTCTTGATACAGAATTAGAATTATGTGGCAACTCACAAGTTTAACTGAATATTACTACTAATAATGCTCAAAATTTCAACATTTTAAAATTTATGTTGCTAAGTGAAATAACAATATATTCACTAGTCAAAGCCTCAATGTCTATAACTTCACTAGACTACAAAGTTGAATGCTAATTATAACAGTACTAAATAGCAAATATCTTATTTTTTGCAAGATCTCAACATATTTTAATAAATAAAGATAATTTGCTTTTCATAACTCACTGTTCTATGATTTAGGCCAAGAAGACAGTACAGGGAATATTCACTGATATCCAATTACCTTCCACTTTCATTGGTTTCTGTATAGCCCAAAGATCCATATTTTAAAAAATTTAAAAGTGGGCAAATCACCACTTAAAAACTGTTCAAAAGAGAATGGAAGAATACACAAGGATTGCATTGTTCATATCCAAAAATATTTAGCCCCAAACTGAATCTCACCGGAAGTAGAATATCTTGGTGACATGTACGAAAACCAATGCCTGGGAGAGTTTGCATTACTACAATAAAAAATCAAAAACCTCTTACGACCAGAATTACATAAAAAAAAGCAAATCTATCTCATAATTAAAAGACCAGAAAACTTCAGTGAACATAATTCTGTGTAAGTTTTAGTATATGAATATAAATATAAAATACTTGTACAGAACCTACGTTTAATTCTTTTCTATCCTTTAGCGTCTATTAATATTAAAATGAACCTTTGAAATAGACCTCAGTTTTATTTAAAATAATCCTATCACTTACCGGTGCCTTTGTAGTATTTTGTACAGTTGCCGTATTCAATATCCTCCTTTTTAATATCAAATTGAGGCAAGGCAATTTTTTCTAACTGAACAGGATCTCCTGACTGCCAGATAAATCTTAAATCATCAGTTGTGTAACCAACTATAAACAAAAATTAATGAAACTGTTAGAATGAAATATAATTATTAATGCTTTCTCAATATTTTAATACTCCAAATATTAAATAAAGGTAATAAAATAGGACACTCTTATTGTATTTAAAAATGTAGAGTTAAAAATCAATGGTCATTCATAAAAAATATAAGCAGAATGGTTACAGAAAATTACCCTAAAGAAGGAGTAAGTTTAATTAACCAGCATATTTTTAATAGTTCAAATCTTAGGGCATCATATATAGCAATTCACTTCTATATGTCAGAATTCTTAAGTCTCCATCAATAAAATGATAATAAATGATACAAGATTTTTGCATACATATATGTCTAATCATGCAATAGGAAACCCTAAAAATTTTAAAGGAATGTAAGCATTTGAACTAACTAATTTTTTGACAAATCCTGTCAGGAGGACAGGATAGGAGTTGCATCATGACAAAAGAGAAATCACCATTTCCCTTTTTATACATATGAATACACCATAGTGAATCCCAACATCCTGTACATCTATAAGAATGGGATCCTCATTAGAATAAGATATAACCATACTTGCATAATTATATCAAAATGAATTCTACTGTCATGTATAACTAAAAAGAACCAGGACATAAAAGGGCAATCAAACCATCTCTCAAATGGACATCATTATAATATCATTTCAGCATCTTTTGGCTGCAGTTACTGTGGCTACAATTCAAGGGTTACACAGCATAGAGCAACCTACCATTGATACCTATTGTGCATCTATTTTTTAAATTCAATATTTTAGTGCATCTACTAATATAACTAAAATGTAAATGCACAGTTGAAATATTTTATAAAAATACATATCTATAACAGATATAAAACACACATACATATAACAGATATAAAAATATGTACACACATCCATATACTTATATGTGAAAAAGCTCATTTTATAGTTTGAAAGCAATAACTATTGTCCAAATATAGGACCCATTAACAAAAAATAATAACAAAGTAACTGTAAGTATAAAATCCAGCAAGCATATTTACATTTTACAAGTTTATTATTCTCCACTTATTGCCCAAATAGGTCATGGTATATAGATATTCAGACTAAAGATTTCATATGTTAATTTTGGTGTTAACTTGTCAAGATGTATGTGCTACTTTTATTTTCAAAGGATAAGCACCACAGCAAATTAATTAATGTTTCATAGAAAATTTCAATTAATACATCTAGCACATCTTTTATAAACTAAAAAAAAATGATTATGGGAACATTAAAAATATAATTTTGAAAAACATCAAAATATATTTTTACACATTCATAAAAGTGAATAATTGATAGAATTTACAGAGTTATTTTTCAGTGTTTCTCAAATTTCCTGCTATGAAAATGGGTCTTATCATTATAGAGAAGTTAGTTAGGACACCACTTTTTTCTTTACCTTTTCTCTATTACTCATTCAAATGAAGACAGCAATTGGAGTTAGGTTAGAAGGGTATGCACCCATATCAACTGTACTAAAATCAAACTGGAACAGAAAATATTTGTCTATCTCCATACAAATTAATGGAATAAAAGAATAACTATAATTTTCCAAAATTATTCAAATGACCATTAATGGTCAAAATTATTTGTTTTATCACTGTTACGTAAAATGTTAGTAGATTATATTTTCTAGACATAAATATTTTATTTCCATAATCACTAATGGCATTATTTACATACAGCTCTCGAGTTGCATCTTGCAGCGTTGTGTGTCCATGGGAAACAAAGTCAAGTCCAAAGGGCATGAGAGGGTAATGGATAACCTGAAAGCAGGAACAGAGAAATCAGAGATAATTTAATATGTTCCTCTGTGATCCACTGATTGGAAAAGAAAAATATAAATAGACAGATATTAAGTATAAAGTAGTACCTCATGCTGACAAGGACATCACCATCCCGAAAAATAAACAGAAGGATATTTTCCTGGGTGACATCATGGAAATTGGCACTTTTTTCATTTGCAAAAAATAAATCAGGTTTCCACAAACATTTGTACATAGTGGGATCCACTGTCAGTGCATCTGAGCCCCTAAAATCACTAGGTAGCTTCAGCCTGGGATCATTCCATTTTTGTCTCAGAAATATGTTAACTCTGTAGTCCTGGGAAAAAATAAATAAATGTGTGCATGTGTGTATTTATTGCTATTTTCGATTATTTTAAAAAATAATGAATGTTTATATGAATTGCTATTTCTAAGAACATGTTCAACACCAGAATAAAAAAGTATTTCGGTAATTAGTAGCACAAATATGTTTGCTCCTCTGACATTAACTAAGATCACAACAACTTATAAATAGAGCGCACACACGATAGTCCTTTGATGTCTCCTGGGAAATGGTTCCAGGATTCCCAGTGGATGTCAAAATTCATGGATATTCCCAAGTCCTTCATATAAAATGAGTAGTATTTGCATATTATTGATGCAAGTCTTCTGTATACTTTAAATCATTTATAGATTACTTATAAAATACAATGTCAATGTCTTCTAAACAGTTTTTATATGCACTTCTTTATGAATGGTGACAAGGAAAGTTCATACACGTTCAATACAGATGCAACATTTTCCCCAACAATTTCCATCTGTAGTTGATTGAATCCACATATATAGAAGGTGACTATATATTCTTTCAGTAGATGGAAGAAGGTAGATACAAATGGTTACTATATATTCTGTGGTAGGTCAGAGAAAAACTACCTGGGGTACCCACATGTGTAAGTCATTATAGATAGAGTTTGAGATCAATAGCCAATAAGATGGAGATTATACAAAACAGATCAGAGCCAGGCATAGTAGTGCATGCCTGTAATCCCAAGAGCTCAGGAGGCTGAGAGAGGATTGCAAATTCAAGGCCAGCCTCAGCAACTTATCGAGGCCCTAAGCAATTTAGCAAAACCCTGTCTCAAAATAAAATAAATAAATAAATAAAAAGAGCTTGGGATGTTGCTTAGTGGTTATGCACTTCTAGGCTCAATCCCTGGTACTAAAAACAAAACAAAATAACAGCAACAACCAAAAAAACAATAGTTCAGAGTAGATGCTAATTTCATAAATGTTTCATCCAAATACATAGAAAATATTTTTAAATGCATTTAAGTAGTTTGATATTTAAGTCAGTTACTTGCTTGAGTAATTTTAATTTTAAAACTTTACAAAAATTAATTCTATAAGAAATATAGATTCTGAAAGTATATGAACCTAGGAAGATTTATAATATCTTAGTATACTTTATATTTGCTAATAAGGTTCTGGTGCAAATTGAGTTATTAATATATACAGTCAGTTATTAATATATACAGTCAAATTCAGTATTGAAACATCATGCTCAGATCTTCTAACTTTAATTTTTTATCTATTAAAAAATTAAATTTTTATCTATTATATAAAAAATTATTTTTTTATCTATTATAAAAGAATTCAAGCCATAAATTATTTTAGTGCCTTCCTATTTTCTTTTATTCTTTCTTTTCTTTTTTGGAATTGAGGATTGAACCCACTTCTTTGTTGTTTGTTTGTTTGTTTATTTTTTAATTTGAGACAGGTTCTACCTAAGTTGATGAGGGTTTTGCTAAATTGCTGAGGCTGGTCTTGAACTTGCCATCCTCCTGTATTAACCTACAGAGTCACTGGGATTACAGGTATATGACACTGTCTGGTCCTTCCTTGTTTTTAGTTATCTAAAATCCATACAATACTATTCCTCCAAAGACTTTGTCATGATCAAAATGAATTAGATCATAAACTTCAAATCAAACCCCAAATAATTAAATAGGACAGAATAATAGATCATATTTTATTACACGATACAACCTAAAACATATCCACAGGACATAAATATGTGTGCTTTAAAATACAAATAAAAAGTAAGCGATGAGTAGTGAGTAACTCGAGAAAAATGTGGGAGCTTCTACTCTCACCAATAAAATCTTTATATCCAGATTCTATACAGCAGTTGGAGAAGGATAAGGCACTAAATAATAATATGCATTTACTGAACTACAGGTAGTGAAATAAGATTTGATCTACTGTTATCCTACAAGTCTAAACTAGATATTCATAAAAATTTCAACATACTGAGGTGATAGGTGGTAATTACACTGCTCTGATTGTATGTGTGTATTGAAATGTCACATTATATCCCATAAATATGTACCATTCATATGTTGATTAAAATAAATATTTTTTCAAAAACTCAACATAAAAGTTGATTTCTAAAAATCATATGCAGATAGTTCCGAAGTTAAGGATTATACAAACTGACATTGAACACATTCATACCCCTGAAAAAATAACATTTTTCTATCTCAATGAACACGAAATCAAGGAAGCCCTATAATACAGAAAATGAAAATGTACACCATATAGCCACATAAACTTTGTATCATAATGCACAAAATGCATAAAATTTGTAATGGCAGTTAATTGACAACTCCATATCCGATTACAGTTGTCACCTGTGCAAAATTTAACTCAAGCATTGTCCAAGATGAAGGGCTACTTCATGTGAAGAAGCTTCCAGCAGATACATTGTTGCTTTCTGGCAGAACTTTTTATCCATTCCATGCAGGCATGAATGGCTCTCCATTTAAGAAGGAATCCCTGAACCCCCAGTCAAATAGGCACGTAAAAATTTGATTTATACACTTATGATTTGTGTATTTTTTAACCATGTAGAAGTTATAACTTGATAAAAATGTAAATTAAAAATAATTAAATAAAAAAGAATATACTTTAGTTCAGTCATTTTCTAATAAAATATCAATTATACTACATTAGTGAAAGCACACATTTAAAAGCCACTTAAAATCATCTTGAGCATTCAACAGTATTCCATTTCAAATTTTTTTGCTAAAATCCTTGTAATGATCTGCAAAATTTATTGGTATTCTAAAATTTTATAGACAAAAAACTATATTATTACCTTCTCCAAATGCTATGTTTTATAATGTATATTGTCAGATGACTATATCTTTAAATTGATATGTTTAAGCATTCACAACAATATGATCAAACAATATCATGTGACTTTTTCAAGGATCAGTATAAGAAAAAGCTAGATGATGTTGTCTGTCTTTTATAAAATTGTTATTGAAGCTATAGTCCCATATCTTGGTCAATGACCCTTGTGTAAAAGCATACAAGATGAGTTCCTTTTTACATATTTATTTAATGTTTTCTTTGTTTATTCATCCCTTACAAACATGATTGTATAGATATTTACTAAGTGCTAAGCTTATTTAGTATAAGTGCTTTATAAAAATACACCTAATAATCAGAGTTTATTATGAAAACCTTCTCCTGATGCTCTTAAATGCTTCCTTTTACTGAAAAATAAAAGTTAAGTATCTCATGTTTTCTTTTCTTTTCTTTTTTTTTCCTGACAGGTAGGAAACTGCAAGTTATTCCTATTGACAACTTCACTAACAATTTCTTTCTCATATTTTGGTGTAACTGTCATTACTTGAGTCTTGCACATTTTGTTCAATTTCGTCATTTGTTTTATATGCCTTGAACACTTTCCAGAAATAGCAAACTATGAAAAATAAATACCATAATGATTCTTGATAAGAGTCAGCATTAGTTGGGTGTAGTTTCCAGACATCTCTGCCATTGTGGCTTCCAAAATAAGGAAAACTTACTTTAGCCTAATATTGGGTCTTTTTGTTTTACTAGAATATTATATTGATGTCCAGAAGTAGAAATATTAAGACCTCATTGGTATTCTTTAGACCAAAACAATTACTTCTCATAATATATGCTAGTTTGCTTATCAGTAATTAATTTTAAGGACATTACATCCATATTTTATAATAATATTCCAGATATCAGGCAGGAATTAAAATAATGTTCTGACTTAATTAACCACAGGCTATTTTGCATAATTAAAAAATAAGTCATTACAATATTTGGGTAGAGGTTCAGAAATTAATTCTGTGTTATACTGAATTATCCTTAAAAATTCCAAACACACTCACACATACATACACACAACATACATACTTTTGGTAGCACAATTCTATGGTCTACCTATTTCCCAAATGTTATAGTTAACTCATCTGAAATCATAGCAAAATTATTTTTCCTCTTAAAGAAAAATTATAGTAATTTTAGTAGTGTCTCTCTTGAAATCCTATCAATATTCTCACACAACTCAAAAATATATTTATATTATTTAGTATATTAAGTTCAAAGCATTGTAGACTTACTCGGTTTTCACTGATAAGATATATTAACAAAGCAAACTTCCTTCATGGAGAAATAGAGTAAAATATCTAACTGTATGTTCCATTTAATCATTAATTTTTTGTTTGTTTGTTTTGGTAGTAGGAACTGAACTCAGAGGCACTTGACCACTGAGCCACACCCCCATCCCTATTCTGTATTTTATTTAGAGACAGGGTCTCATTGAGTTAATGGCTTAGCACCTCACTTTTGCTGAGGCTAGGCTTTAAACTGGCGATCCTCCTGCCTCAGCCTCCCCAGCTGATGGGATCACAGGCATGCACCACCACTCCAGGCTCATTAGTTTAATTATTAATGCAGTTTAGATAATAATTGGTTTGGTTCACAAGTAAGAAAGTAATTGGTAAAGACAATAAAGGTAGTAAGAACAAATGACAGTTGTTAAGAGAATTAATGATTGCTTCAGGCACCAGGGGCCAAGGAAGGCTAGAGTATCAAAGTCTAGGAGGCTACTAAAGAGAAGCAGAATTTTGACAGATAGTGATTGTTTTTGTCAGCTTTTTGTTGCCGTGACCAAAAAACCTGACAAGAACAATTAGAGGAGGAAAAGTTTATTTGAGGGCTCATGGTTTCAGAGGTCTCAGTTCATAGATGGTTGACTCCATTCCTCAGGGCCCAAGGTGATGGGGAACATCATGGCAGAACAGTGTGGTGGAGGGAGGGGACTCAGCACTTCACACCAAGAAGCAGAAAGAGAGCTCTGCTCAAGTAGGACAAAATATGTACTAAAAGGCATGCCCCCAGGGACTCACTACTTCCAACAACACCTTATCTACTTTCAGTTACCACTCAGTTAATTCTATTAGGGATTAATTCACTGATTGGGTTAAGGTTCTCATCATTTAATCATTTCACCCT